CCTTTTAGAGGGGCCAGTTTGGAGTTTGGTGGCAAGGCTGTTCTGTTTCTGGGGAGTACCTGCAGCTGGGCAGATGGGTTGTCTGCTATGAGTGTACACTGAGCCTTGGTTCATTCTCCCACTCTCTTTGTCTCTGTCTTTGTCTCTGTATCTCTCTCTTCCCTTTCTCTTCTCTCTTCATTTTTACATGTATGGCATGTTGGCCTGTGTGATGCATGTTTGCATGTGCAAGCGTGCATGTTCACGTATATAGGTGCCCCCAAGGTTGATGTCACGAATCAGTCTCCATCCCTCTTCCATGTTATTCACTGAGGCAGGCCCCTCAATCAAACTCAGAGCACATTAATAAGGCTAGTCTCGCTACCCAGCTTGCTCTGGGTCTGCACTACCTTCTGATTCCTGAGGCTGGAATTTCAGGGAGGCCGACACACTCAAACGTGACATTTACAAGGATTCTGGGGACTCGAACTTTGGCCCTCTTCCTGGCACAGAAGCCCTTTGACAACTTGGCCACCCTCAGCCCACTGAGCACTGATGCTTGCTAGAAAATTCATCTCTCTGAGCTGCCATAAGAAGGCTTGGGTTCTGCAGCTATTTTGTTCCTTGGGGTCCTCCCAGGAGGAGCAGAGTGCATGGCTGGACTTCAGGGAATAAAAGCAGACCTTGGGGGTTGAGATCAGATGTACCCTCAAGCTCTCTGCCTGAGATCTGGTACTTTGTGTGCAAGTGAATGCAGGGTGGCCCAGCTGAGAGAGGTGCCCTTTCTCAATCAGAAAAGTAAGGTAAACAAAACCCTGGAATTCTTTTAGACCACAGGAGGTGTCCCCTAAGTTTCTAAAGCAAGGGCTAGGTAGGAAGCATCAGAGAGAGCAATTCGGGGAGACTCAAGAGGGCTGTGGAGACGGCTCAGTCAGTAATGTGCTTATCGTACAAGCTGGAGGAGGACCTGGGTCCTGAACCCCAGTACTCATATAAAAATTGAGATATGTCTTTAATCCCAGCACTGGGGGCAGAGACAGGTAGATTTCTGGGGTTCACTAGCCAGCCATTCTGACAGGTCTGTGAGCTCAGGTTCAGTGAAGGAGAGAGCCTGTCTCAAAAATAGGGTACAAAGTGAGAGGAAGTCATAGATATTGACTTCTGACCTCCACATACATGTGAACACCAGTGGGTATGTGCATCTTTCCATACACACATAACACATACAAATCACACACACACACACACACACACACACACATAAAATGGGGGAAAACCAGAGAAATCCAAAACCTGCATCTTGCTTCTCCCCCTCCCTACGTGTTTGTTTTGTTCTGATTTGATGAGAGGGTGCCAGTGCGTGGGACAGTCTCTCCATGCAGGAGGATGAGTAACACTCCCTCAGCTTGTTTACAGCACACTCACACGCACACTCACACACAGCGGACGATGAAGTGCCTGCTATGGGCTAGGTGTCAAAAATGGGAAGAGGAACAATAGAACCCCAGCCACCTTCCTCTCCTGCCCACAAGTTCACAGTGAAGCTGGAGGAACACATCACTGCCTTTCTGGTGAGTTTCACAGAGGGTGTGAACACACGCCGCTGCCACCACCACTACCACCATCATCACCTCCACCATCACCATCATCACCATCATCACCATCATCACTAGCTGTTCTTCTTTTCTGGTTGAGTTTACTCCCAGGGCACCCCAACTACCACCCATATATGCTTTATTTTATGCCTTCAAAATTCATATAGCATGATATCCACCACTCTAACACAAGCAATTTGATGCCATTTCGCCTGTCTGCAACTTTGTGCAAACACAGCCACTGTCTGTGACCCCTTCATCACACCGCATACCTGAGAAAACTCCAAAAAAGACCCAGAAAGCATCTCTCTCCTCAGGCTCTCTTAGCCACCTGCCTGCCTTCTGTCTCCCTAGGCTTACCTCCCCTGGATCCTCGTATAAACCGAGTCACACATCGTGTGAGCTTTTGTGTCTGACACAGTGTTTGGGGTTTCATGGTTACAGGGGATGTCTGTCCTTCACTCCTTACCATAGTTGAATAATAGCACGCCGTACGGAGAGCTAGCCTCGTTTCTTCATCTGTTGGTGGGCAGCTGAGTTTTCTCCACCTTCTGACTATGACACTACGGCAGGCAGTATCACTAAGAACATGGCCACCGTTCCCGCCATTCCTGAAATTTTGCTTCAGGTTGTTTACAATGGATTTGCCAAGTCACATAAGGGTCACACATTTAACCTTTCTCTTTCTAAAGAGAAATTAATTAATTTATTTTTTTATTTTTTGAGACAGTCTTACTATGCACCCCTAGCTAGCTGACCTAGAACTCCCAATGTAGAGTAGAAGGGCCTCAAACTGCCAGCGATCCTCCTGCCTCTACCTCATGAGTATTGAGATTAAAGGACATTATACCACCTTTAACTTTTTGAAAGGTTGCCGAACTGGGTTTCCCTGTGACATCAGCCTTTTAGGAGTTCCACAGAGCCTCGCTGTTAGATGACTCTAAGTTACTTCCTAAAGGTCTGAACTGAACCTGGGCATTAGGCACACCCAGAATCTCGGGAGCCCTCTGCCCATCTGCTTGGTTAAAGCTGAGCTGAAAAAGGCCAAGGTCAAAGGTGCAATCCCTACACGGAGCAAATTAGATAGAGAAAAAGACGACACCCTGTGGCCTGCGCTCTGTCATCTAAGAGTGTCCTCTCCTCTTGCAAAAGCTTGCCCATGGAGAGAGAGTCGGGGCAACAGTATACTTTTATAGTTCTGCATAAAAGAAGTCAATGGGGTTATAACTCAGCTGGGAGTGTTTGTCTAGCGTGGTCCAACCTCATGGTTTGATCCCAATACCAAATAAACTAAGTATTGCGATGTTGCATGCCTGTTGAGCCTAGCACTGTCCTGTAAAGTCAGCAAGGCAGAAGGATCACAAGGTCAAGGTCATTCTCCACTACATACAGAGTTGGAGGAGTTGGAGAGACCCTTCGTACTGGCTGGTCTTGTGCGTCAACTTGACTCGAGCTGGAGTTATCACAGGGAAGGGAGCCTTCCCTGAGGAAATGCCTCCATGAGATCCAGCTGTAAGGCATTTTCTCTATTAATGATCAAGGGAGTAGGGCCCAGACCATTGTGAGTGGTGCCATCCCTGGGCTGGTGGTCCTGGTTTCTATAAGAAAGCAAGCCAAGGGAAGCAAGCCAGGAGGCAGCATGCATCCATGGCCTCTGCATCAGCTCCTGCCTCCAGGTTCCTATCCTGTGTGAGTCCCAGACCTGACTTCCTCTGGTGATGAACAGCAATGAGGAAGTGTAAGTTGAATAAACCCTTTCCTCCCCAGCTTACTCCTTGGTCATTTGTTTCAAAACAGCAGTAGAAACCCTGGCTAAGATGTCCTGTGTCAACAACAACAACTACAACAACAACAACAAAAAGTTTACTGAAAGCACTCGAGTTTAACTAGCATCATGGGATTATTTGTGCCCAACCCCTGCACCGTCTGATTTCTGTGGACTTGATGGGTTGCTAAACCCGATTCAATGCCTGTTACCTCCTAAAACAGGCCGAGGACACTCTACAGCGTCAACCACACATACAAACGCCCTGTGCGTGCATGTTCTCCTTAGTTCATGTGAACTTGCATTACATGCTCTTGAACCTGGAGAGTATCTCATCTAGAGCACCCCTTTGGCTTCTGCCATGAGCCCCTGTCCCCAGGTTTCCTGGGCTGGAATGGTGGTGCACTCTTGGCCAGGGTTACACTTGGCTCTTTGAAAGCCTCCTATTTGCATGGAATGAAGCTTGCTATGGTAACAAGGTCTGGTGGCTGGAATCCAGGGCCCCACTGAAAAATGCAAAGCCCGTGGTGTGCTCTGAGAGAGAAAGGAGCCGCCGGGAGATGGGGGCGCTTATCCAAGTTAAGGTTACCTCGATTCTTCTCAGAACCGGGAGTAGGTACACCAAGGAAGGCAGGTTCAACATTCCTACCTCGGAAGGAGAAGAAAAAAGAAGCCCACCACACCTCCCAACCCTCCTCTGGCCTCAGCTCTCTACTCCCACTAACGTTCAGGCCAGCCAAAGAGCTTAAGACCAGGTTGAAGCTAGCCCTCATTCCTGGGTGTGCACACTCACTCTCTGGGCTGCGAGCAGGCCTCAGCACCACTGGCCCAGGCTAGGGAAGAAGAGCGCAGGTCAGGCTCTGAGGTGGGGGTGGAAGGTGGCAGGCTCGCTGTCCACCATCTCTCCTCCCCGCTGGGCGTTTCACCCCTGCAACTGGCAAAACAAGAACTCCAGCAGCCCTCTCCCTCGGCCTTCCATCCCACGCTCCCCTCCAAGGGGCCCCCTTTGCAAGCTCCCCTCTTTGCTAAGCATCCACCACCTCCTCCTCTGCGACCCCAGCCCGGAGCAGGGCAGTAGTTGGCTGGGGCGGGGCTGCCCACCGCCGCAGGGAGGGGACAGTGGGACAGCCAGGGTCCGGGATGAACCCCTAACCCTTCGCTTGAGGGTGCCACCTCCGGCCTCATGAGGGCGCCGCCCTCCTCCTCCACTCCCCGGGGGTGTGTCCCCGAGGTAGGGGGCTCAAGAGGCCGGAGAGGTCGCCGAGGTCCCCTGCAGGGCCCCCTCCCGAGCGAGCCGCGAATGGTAGGCTCCACTCGGAGAGTGCCTGGCCCGGGAGGCGCACGGTGTCCTCTGCGCGCAGCTCGCCCGCCCGCCGGGGTCTTGCCGATCTCGGCTGCTCCTCCTCCTCCCGTCCTCCTCCTCTTTTCCTCCTCCTCCCCGCGCCGCCTCGCCACCGCCGCGGCTCGGGCTGGAGGCGCCGCTGTCATTCCTGCGCCGGAGGAGCCGGCGCTTGCCGGTGCCTGGGGGTCGGGGCGCGGGGAAACCCGGGCCGCTGGGGTGACCCAACAGGTAGAGCCGGGACCACAGCCGGCCACGCGCCCCCCGCGTGCATCATGCAGCTCTTTGTCACCTCTCTCGCCCCCAGGCCAAAATCCTGAGCATGATGGAAGACAATAAGCAGCTCGCGCTCCGCATCGATGGGGCGGTCCAGTCGGCCAGCCAGGAGGTGACCAACCTGCGAGCCGAACTCACGGCCACCAACCGGAGACTGGCGGAATTGAGCGGCGGAGGCGGCGGCCCCGGCTCGGGCCCGGGAGCTGCGACCAGCGCCTCGGCAGCAGCGGTGACGGTGGCTGACTCGGCGGTGGCGACCATGGAGAACCATCAGCACGGAGCTCAAGGTAGGGAGAGCCCGGCGCCCGGGGCGGGGACCCAGAGCGCGCTCACCGGTCCCACTGGTGGCCGGGCCCGCGGTGTCCCTCACGCTCGCCGCGAGATGGCTTTGCATTGTGGTTCGTAACCCTTTTGGCTCGGCGGTGTCAACCCGCTGCTTCCCGGTTTGGGAGTTCCACAGCGGCTGTCATTAACGCCAACCCGGGTGCAGTGTGCGCGGTGGGTCACACGGTCACACTGGCCCCCGCCCGCTAAAGCTAGGCGCCGCTGGGCCGGTCCTTTTCAGGCAGTGGAAAGTGTCCTTTGGATGGCACATGGACCCCAGCGCCGCAGCAAACTTTTCATGCCCTCTCCCCCGTAGTCTCCACCACCCCCCACCCCCCACCCCGCGCCCCAACCCTCCAGTTCCAACGGCCTCTGAAATGATTCCCCAGCGGGGGGAAATCTCTTCTCTTGGGCTCTGCTGCCCAAGGGAAGTGGACTTGTATGCACTTTTCTCTACGGACGCCAAGGCCCTTGACTGGGCTGCATCTGGAGTTTATTTTCTCCAGGCTTGAGAGGGTGCAGGCAGTGCTGGCGAGGCTCGGGTCTGCAGGGAGTTTTACGTTTCCAGCAGCTCTACTGGGAAGAGTGCTTCCCAGGGGGAAATCACAGACCTCAGAGGCTGATTGATGGCTGTCTGGAGAAGTGGAGGCTTGAATGGTAGGTTGCTAGGAGCCCCTGTTTGAAGGACCCCTCTGCAGTTTAGACGAAGGGGGAAGAAAAGACAGCTGGCCAGTGCTGACATTGAGGGATGACACTTCTGAACCCCCAGCAAGGGTTAAAGGTGTGAAGTAAGGTGGTCCTGCCATGTGTGGTGTTTTCTCAGAGTTGGGAATCAAAAGCGGAAGCAAGCTTTTCAGGACCTCCCCCCCTCCACCCCATCGCTTTTAAGAATCAATACCGAAGCTTATTCAAACCATTTGAGTTGTAAACTAAATTGCTAAAATCCTAAAGATGGGGCAGAGAGAGGAAAAAAACCCTCCAGTCCAAGAGGACCACTTGTATAAATATGTCACTTGGAGTGTAAGGTACCAATGTTCAGTGGCTCGGAATGATTTTCTGGTTCTGCTATCTCAACAGCTCCTCCTGAGTGTTGAGAGAGTCTGTTTTTGCAACGGGGATGCCTTCACTCGCTGCATCCATCTGTTTTGGCCTTACCTTTGGGAAGGTATGTCTTTGCTCTGGGAGACCCGCAGCTTCAAGATCGGCAGTTTTGTGAATTCTAAGTCAGACCCTAACTTGGTACTTCCAAAGCCTGTTGGAAGTCTTTGGGAACTGTGGTTGTAATTTTGGCCATGATGTAATGGTAAGACTGTGGAGTGGCTCTGGTGTTTGCTACAAGGTTTCAAGGTTGGCATCTGTTTGTTCTCCTCAGCCATCGCTGGTTATGTCATCGTGTGAGAAAGAACTGTAGGTGCGAGAGAAGCAGGCTGACTGCAGGATAAAGCTTTGATTTTTGTAAGCAGAGAGTGTTCTGACGTTCCAGAACCAGCTAAGAGCTGGCATTTTGCTGAGAAGCAAAAGCCCTAAAAAGGGACACGAGATGGATATTCCCACCCAGCAGTTCCTCAGACAGGGAAAAGTTAAGTGGCTTTTCATCTGAGTGCTGGTTGCGCTGTGGACTGGGCGTGCTATAGAAGCCAGAGGGCCCTGCTGGTGCACTTCACTGGAAAATCGGAAGGCTGGCATCTTACGACTAAATGCTCCTAGAGGCGCAACAGGGGGTGTTTCTTTTCTTTTCTTTTCCTCCTAAGAGGCACATGCCTGCAAACATGGAAGTGGCTTTGGGATCACCCAGTATCCTTAAAAATATACAACACCAGCAGCTCCCTGTGCCCACAGGAACCTTTGCACCTGCCATGTGCCCATGTCCACGGCTGGCAATGGGTCGGTAATAGGAGAACAGAGGAGGAGGGTCTTGGTTGTTTCTGCCAGCAATGCCAAAGGTTTTCAGAACCCTGACGGTGGGCCCTCGGTGATTGTATAATCAGAAAGCACGTTAATAATTTTTTTCACTGAGCTCACCTGTGGGTCACGTGTCCAAGTTAGTTTGACTTTATGTGGATGAGGCAGGTGGAATAAAGGAGATTCCTGCAGAAGGCCACTGGGCATTTACTTATCTATAATAGCACCTCAGTCCTAGAGAGGGGGGGTGTTTTTATTTGTCTCCCTCTCTTTGGGGTCTCTAGACACTATTTTTCTAGAAGCCCTCAGCAGACCTGGTCTGGTTACTTCTTTTGCTGTGACTTCTATTATGTTCCTCAAGAGGAGCCTTGAATGGTTGCAAGCTCATTTCCAGGTATGGCTGGCTGCCTTCCTCGAGTCCCTCCTGACACAGTACCAGGGAGGGGCTGGGAAGCTGGGATTCTTGGGGCTTTCTGTTCTTCAGGTTAGTGTTGCTTCTGTGATTTTAGTTTGCCTCCCCTGGTACCACTCAGTGGGAACAGACCCTGAGAATACCTGGCACAGTTATCACTTTTCAAACTGTGGTTTTGAACGAAGCGAGTATCTATTTTTCAAAATACAACCGTTATCAGTCACTTTTAGCTAAAGTGCATTATGGACACATTAAGAGCATGATAGTATGCCTTTAGCAATATTACCACAAGTGATTTCAGGAAAATGCCACCTTTTACATCCTGGCCCTCCACCCGCGAGAGACTGTTAGATCCATAAAGGAAGCTCATCAGTCTTTGCTGGGTACTTTGTTGCAGGTGAGACCACTGGGTTGGAGCCACATGTGAAGTCAAACCTGGGTTTTCCTAGAGGGTTAAGGCAGAATGTCACTTAAACAAAATATTAACTCGCTGGGTACCCTGTGTGAGCGGGCATGGTTGCTATGTAACAGAATCTAGAAAGTGAACTGCTGGAAATCTGGGCTCTCGGCACTTCGCAGGATCTTCTTTCGGAATTTCTGTTGAAAGAGCTCTTGGCAGCGGGCCCATCTCCTCTCTCCTGTTGCAAGTGAGTTGGATAATCCTAAGGAGGACTGTAGGCCAGCCTCGCCAAGGGCATCTGTGCCGGGTGGTGCATTTCACAGCCCTAGAGGCCGCCTCTTGGGTTGATGGGTTCACAACTGGTTTTGACAGGTGGACAGAAGGAGGCTTGATTTAAAAAAAAAAAAGCATAAAAAACAACAACAAAACAAAACAAAAAAAAAAACAAAATACAGAGCTAAGCATTTGCTTCAGTTCATCTTTGTTGTAGAAAGGGGGTTGTTTGATGTAGCATTTCTAAACCATTTTCCTCGTGGTACCCAGCTCTGGGAAAGTGTATTTAAAATGCTTGCTGTTCTTTGAAGGCAAAATATAGCAGTTTGCTTCTCTGAAAATGTTTTATCTGATGAATGACTAATATTAGATTCAATTGGTTGCTTTGCAGTGCATAGAATAAGACAATTAAGAGCCATTGCACTCAATTTAAATAGGTGTTAACTGTATAGAACATAAAATGCTTACACCCAGTTGAATGGATGCTCACCGCCTTGAGTTTACTGTTTATTTGGGGGGTGTGTACCTGCATGCCTGTGGATTAGATGTTCTCCTCAGTCGTTCCCTGCCTACCTCCCAGTCTCTGCCCTCCCAGTGCTGGGATTACAGGCTCATGTTGCTGAACTCAGCGTTTTGTTTTGTTTTTTTTTTCCTGTGGATGGTGGGGATCTGAACTCCGACACTCGTGTTTGTACAGGGAGAGCATTTGATTGACTGAGCCCGCTCCCCTGCCCCCACCAGCAAGGTACAGAAAGTATCTTCCTTTGGTGCCAGGGATAGGCCACCAGCCTCTGTCTGCTGCAGTTGTTAAAAGGGGGAGGTGAGAAGGATCAGTCTCCATGTTTATAAATTTTCATAACTGCACAAAGGTTGTATTGCCTTCTCCCAGAACTACAATAGACAGCTGCCTGGGTTCTGGCATCTCCTCTTTACAAAACACTGAAAACTCTTCGGTAAACTTTGCATTACTTTGGGAGTAGTGTGTGCGAAGACTCACACACTGTTCCTCTGCAAAAGAGCTTCCTTCTTTTGGCTTTCCTGTTCATTCTGCCTCCACTCCTATTTTATCTGCTTTGAAAGAGGGGATTTACAAATGGCAGACTGGGTGGGACCTAGGCATATGAGACAACATCTCCAAGGCCCCTCACTTTGTCTCCGAAGTGGGATGAAGGGCCACGTCTTTGCGTAACTCAGAAGGTGGGACTTTATGGCTCCTCCTAAAAATTACTGCGTGGAGTCACTGAGAGATTGCTTACACGTGAGGATGGTGTGGTTGAAATTAGTTATTGATTGGCTATCATTTGCTATCTTTCTACTGTCTTTAAAGATGCCTGGGAGGGTTCCTGGAGTAGAGATTCTGGTTCATTTCACATGACTGTGTTTGTTTTCTGATTGTGGTTTTCTAAAACTACTTTGATGTCAAACAGAAGTCTCAGCCAGCCCAATTTTCACTCTAAGAGAACCAGCTGCATGGCACCTTGGTGTGAGATGGCCTGTGTCTCTACACCCTCCCCATAACTCCTCAATCCCAATGGCACCTTTTAGGTATCCCATAGGACCTAATTTGTGACCTCCTGGCTGACAAGGAGCATGTGTCACATGGGCATGGTAGGTGGGGATTGCTCACTGAAAGTCTGCGTGCCTACCCTGTAAGCCATGTAGAGCACAGAAGTCAAACTCAGGTTCTTGGACACACTCATTGGGTATTTCATGTATTCATCTGGTAGTCACTCCCTTGTAATGTGGGGCAGTAGGGATGGCCCCGTCTTTTGCCCTTTTTACTCCTCAGCACCCATCATATGGCTGACCTTAAGAGATGGCTTCTTATGCTAAGTCTTGTTAGCAACCCAAGTCAGCAGACTTACTTATTGTGTGGCTAATTTTTGATTGTCAGTTTGGCATATCTGGGGAGAAGGAGCCTCATTTGGGGAATGACCTCCATGGAATTGGTCTGTGGGCATGTGAGGGTGGTGGAA